TTTTTTTAAAAAAATAACCATTTCAAACTATTTACAGAACAATCAGCTGTTCTGCATTCAATAAGATGCCACACAAATTATTTGTGCCACTCCAAATATTTCTGTCCACTATAAAGGAGAACATCACAGCCTGATACCTGCAGGTCTGACAGCAGAGGTGTATCACTCCTGTTTCTACCTGGAGACAGCAGTCGCCTCATTGTTCTGACACACAACACAAAACTATCCACAACACTACACACTAACTACACAAGACAACACATTAACTACACACTCCAAACACGCTAAACGTCACAAATCTCTCACATCTCAAAACTCGCTCTCTCTCTTTTTCTGCTGTCTCTCTCTCTCTCTGCTGTCACTCCTAAAACTTCCCCTGTTTGTTTTTTTTTGTTTGTTGTTTGTTTTTTTTTTTGCTCATAAGCAGAGAGTGCTTGCTGCGCTGTCCTTAGACAGTAAACGTGACGAAACTATTGAGGAAAAAACGCCGCATATATATTGTTTATCATGACTCTGGTTTTACGTGGCCTATCAACACAATTTAAAAACTGGTATATCTTGTTGCTTTGTCTTTAAGTGGTCATGTGATTGGCTTACCATGCCTACTTTATTCTTCCTCAATCAAACAGCAGCACTCGATTGTTTTGCCCCCTTAGCTCCAGGTGTTGTGCTAGACAGTGATCGTGATTACCGTCCGCGGGAACGCGCGCAAATACTTAAAGCCGTAGCGTCCAGATTACTTACAGCTACTTCCGTGCAACTGATATAAGATGCGGTGAGCTGAACACAGCTTTAACCGTCTGCTTGTTGAAAAATAGTAACAGACCACATTTTCTTATTAGTAACTGTAACGGCGTTGTAACTATAGGAATAGTAATTAGTTAGATTACTCGTTACTGAAAAAAGTAAAGCTGTTATTCCCATCACTGGTAGCTAGCCACCACATTGCACATCATTATATACCAGCTAGCCCAACTTCAGTAACCCTACAAACATCACTGCTGTTTAGTTTTCTGTCTTCATTTATGTCAGAAGTGATAGCAGAGCTGTATGTTTTAATTTTTCAGAAATCCCTTAATCAGAACATGGTATATTATTTAATCTTAAAATAATGGGGGCAGATTTCCCGCATACAACTAGAGGGAGCCCAAGTACCACCAGTGGTAAGCGTACCACACTTTAAGAACCATTGAGATAGCAGAAATGAAATGCATTTAGGTATGTACACAAGAAAAGGAAACTGCTGATCTGCTGGGATTTTCCCACACAGGCTCATCGAAAACTGTAACTCTCATTTAGATACTAAAAGTGATTTTGTGATAGCCTTTATTAGAGAAAATGATTAGTGCAGCTTGAAGTTAACGTTGTATTTTTTGTGATATCTTTATTGTTATTGTTGATAGGCGGTGCCGTTCTCCACTGGCCCACAAGGACAGTTCTTAAATTATAATAAATGACTGGTCATTCAAATGAAGTGTGCAACTGCTGACGGAAATGAGGATACTGTGTTTAAAATTCCAGTTTTCGTCACATAAAAAGAAACTGTCATCATTGTAATAAATATTTGATTTTCTAATCAACATTATGCTCAACTGCTTCATTAGATTGATGACCTCGCACATCTCTAGTTCCTGAGTTCCACTGCCACATCATAGGAATGGAAATGATGGTGCTCAGGTTCTGGTGAACTGCATTTAAATTCCTTTCCAGGACCTTAGCTTGTTTTCAACTTATTTATCACCGTGACAGTAATCTCTCCACTTATCAGAACACCGGAGAAACAGTGGTGATAGAATACAAATGCGATGTTTTGAGAGCTCTTTGGGACCAAAGGCAGGACTCCTGGCAGTGTTGTACATTGGACTGGCACTAAAGAGAGTGAGTGACAGGTAAACGCACACATTCAACATTTTGACATTAAAAATGTCAGTGCAAGCTGTAGCACTAAAAGCAAAACCCACCAAACTGTATTTAAATAAACACTGAAAGTTTGAATCAGCTAGCTTTATTATGGCACTTTGTACATGTCAGGATACAAACTCAACATTCTAGGTTTCTTGGTTCATATAGCACATAAAACAATCAAAAACATTATTTCATTGCATAAAAAAAGACAGAAGGGTTCTGGAAGCTGCTTAGTTTTTTACCACACATACAGACACTTACATTCAATCAAATCCCAGTCTAGTAGTGACAGTTTATCTGAAATTTTCTCCAACCAGTCATTTCTTTTTGTAATCACCAATGAGACACAGTCTGAGTGTCTGATTGGTTTTCTGATTTTGTGTCATTTAAGGACAGGTTGATATTTTTCAGGCCTGTCTTAGAATGATACAAACAGCTTTTGGGTGTTATTCCCCTTCTGTACACTGGTTCTCCTTCTAAGTGAAAATTGTTTCGCGTATAGAGTCAATGAATGTTTTCTAATGGTAAGGAGGGGGCACAATAGAGTTCAAATAAAACTGCCCCGTTCCTTTTTATTTAATAGCTTGTAACAGTTTTCATATTACTTAATACTCTCAGTCGTTAGTTTCAGATTTTCATTAACACATCTTTATGTTCATTTTTGTAGATTAGGGTCACATTTGAATTAAAAAAGACGAAGCATGATGTAATTTAAGCTTTAGTGTTCTCAGTCATATCCGTCCCTATGCCTGTCAGTGGCTATATCTATCTTTTATGTACAGTCTGTTGTTCTGGGTCCTCTTAGTTAGCTTACTGAAGTATTTCTTTTACAAAGTTGCCTTGTGTTTTACCAGAAATCATCATAAGCTGAGGTAATTTTATAAGAGAATTTACTTTGGAAGACTTAGTAATTGAATTTTGCTTTTGCCTATTAAAAACTGGGCTAGATGTTTTCACAACCAGTGGAGGGAAATGTTAAAATACAGCTGAGAAATTATGAGTGCTGGTAATTAAAATAATAACTTGACCCTTTTCTTTCATTGACGTTCTGATTAAATCCATTTTAGACTTTATATAGGTCTTTATATTGGAAGAGCTCAAAGTATGATATATAAAATATTGATATGTGAAATGTCAAATTCAGATTTGTATGACTTGAAGCAGATGAAGTAGAAAATGACATCATAGTAAAGAAGGTGAAATGATGGCTAGCCTGCTTATTTTCTGACTCAATAAAAAAACTGGTTCTGTTCTAATTCAGATTTTCCGGACACAGTGTCTTTCAGTGCAACATTACAACAGTAATGAAAAAACAAATGAGTACTCATCACTTCTGCAGTCAAAAATACAGATATCTGCAAGAAAACTCTACAAAATCCATTTCTGCATGTAAAGGAGCATCACAGATTGGTGCATGTAAACACACTCTGACATCCATCCACACAGACTTTGTGCACAACATCATTTTACACACAAACTCATGTGGGTTCCCAGGGATCCAAGGTAAACAGGTTGCATTGAAGTGCTACGAGATCTTTCGTTGGCACGAGAGGAGTAACTCTTACAGTATTTACAACTGCGGTTAAATGATCAGTTTTTTTCATGCATTTCTTAAAAACAAACTCTTGTAGAAAATACTTTTTTCACATTCCGTTTGATTATTTTGTTTTGTTTTTGTTTGCGTGAAAAGAATGCATTAGTGTCAAATGATAGTCACTTAACTTTGCGTGTATTTATTTTGTTCTGGTCACTGTGTGATTATACTTTACATGATGCATGAGCAGTAGGAATAAACAGGAAGCATTCTGCAATTGGCATTGAGTTGAATAAAGCTTTGAAATTAAGAAACATGCTACCAAAAGGTACTCCAACAGGAGTCACAATAAACCGACTGACTGAGCAATCCTCTGAGTGGGAGACCAAACCTGACACACTCAGCTAGAAGTGCAATAGTTTGAAGAGTAAAACATTTGGGCTATGCTTTTTTTAACGAGTCCCATATTTTCAACAAAGTAACTAGTTTGCTATAAATTACCAGAACAGCTGCAGTTAATGAGAAACTCCACATTTTCTTCAAGATGAAAAAGTCTATTAGCTGATATCAGTATTCATCACTTTTATTAAAACTGCAGTTTAATTATGAAGTGCCAGGCATCAAAGAGTCATTTGTCAAAGATAAACATTCATTCATTTCTGCCACCTGTTATTAACTTGGATGTCTCTTTGTAATTGTCACCTGTGCTGGGAATTATTTTTTTGTATTTCAGCCTCACAATAAACTACAAGATAAATCATACTCTATCATTTAAACATAACTGCTAAAATGTAATCATTTCAAACCAACTTAAACCATTCTTGACACACAGCACAGTCACGTCCCATCTAATCAAACGTGTTTTCAGTCTTTCTAAGAAATCATCATTATCATTACTGGTGGTGGTCAGAGGGCCCGGTGGCACCAGTGTTCGGCAGCCTCACCTCCATCAGTGCGACCCAGGGTGGCTGTGGCTACAATGTAGCTTGCCATCACCAGTGTGTGAATGTGTGTGTGAATGGGTGGATGACTGAATGTGTAAAGCGCTTTGGGGTCCTTAGGGACTAGTAAGGCGCAATACAAATACAGGCCATTTACCATTATTATTTTTTAAGACAGCCAGCTCTTAAGAGGTCATATACAGTAGAGCTGTGATCCACCTAATTATCTGCCGGGGCTTCCTCTGTTTTCTATCTGTGGAAGCCTTGTGGGCAGCAAACTTCATTTATCCAACTTAAGATGAAGGAAAAGTGAATGTAGAAGGGGCTATAAAAATAACTCAATGTAAGAGGGTAAACCTTTAGGCTGAGGGGGCCAAAATAACTGTTTGGAAGGTTGCCACTATGTAAATCTATATTTTCTGCTTAACATCCAATTTTCCTGAAGGTTTATTTCTGCATGAATGAAAACTTTGCTTTTCCTAACTTTATAAACTCTTTCCAAGCTTAACAAATACTTTTTTTTTTTATCTATTATTAAGCTGGGGGGTTTGTTTTGTTTGTTTTGGCCAGTCTAAACTGTGGAAATCTTTTGGAGAACCTGTTGAAAAAATATGGGACTGTTTAAAAAAAAAAAAGAGAGCAGTACCAAACATTTAAAACTACAATTTCCATACTTGTCTTTGAACTAAATAAATTGAAATCAAAACCTGAATAAATATGACAAGACAAAGTAGTGATTGTTTGAGGAAGTAAGACTGTGACTTTTGGGCTAATTAACCAACCTGCTTTAAAACTGAGGTATTCCTCTGACATCATTCTCTCCCTTTGGTGCCACGATTTTTGGCTGACTGACCAGCCCTGTAGCATTCAGAGGACTATGTAGAGGAAGTTCAGCAGACTCCAAGGCTGGCCAGCAGGCCTTTAGAGAAGAGAAGAATATCAGCTCTCTGGAGAGGACCAGTGCAGGGTTTGGTGAACAGACTGTGAAGTTCTTCTGGAACGATTTGTGGAGGGCGTTGGTAAGCTTAGGTCCGCACCCAGCTGAGAGGCACCCAGAAGGACTCTCTCTCCAGCCTCTCCAAAATACCTCGCAGTTCTGCACAAGCACTGGCCGAGTCCTCCTTGATCAGGACACGGTCCACTAGGTGTCCATACTGCTGATCAATCTGAATGGCAGACTGACGCATCTCCTGGAGGTCTTCATCCTGTTGAAGAAAGGCAATTAAAGAATTTTCTTTTCTTTACAGTGGATGTTGTGGATTGATAGTGTCCTTTGAAAAAATATGCTAATATATATTGATGTTAGTGGCCATTTTCTATCTTTTGTGTCACATCAGTTTTGCACTGGATTAATGCTCCAGGAGTGATATTCTATAGTACATTTGTATAATGAGATTGCTGCGTATTTACAAAGCTTGTGAGTTGATAAGAATTGTGCAATACTTTTGATTTATTAAGCAAAAGAATGCATGACAGGCCCAACTACATTTAAAAAAAAAACTTTTAACAGGACGTCTGTTACTGCTTAGAGAAACATGGCTCACTGTAATGCGGCCATGCTCGCCCCCTCCTGGGGAGGTGGCTGCACTGCGACGACGTCTGCTCTCAGGAACACGAGGCTTGACGAATATCACATAAGGCTTGAACTCCGATGTCCGTAGCCTCTTTAGAGCCTGGAGTAGTGGAAGGTTTACATCAAACAGAGAAAACAGAGGTCAGGAAGGAGCTGGGAAGAAGCAAAGTCAACAGCTTGGTGAGCAGGCCTGACATGACTGCCTGCCCCTGCCCACTCAGGTACTCAGTAAAGTGCTGCTGCCTGCAGACTAAGTAACTCATTGCGACATGTTATGACAGTGGATTCTTTGGATGAACATTAAACAGGATGTTCTCTGTAATGTGACCCTTACCTCAGGCTGCACATCTACTATACACATCTTATTCTTGGCCTGCACAGAGCGGATAGCCTCGATACTGGTGCCGTATTGGTTCTCCTTGTATTCACCGTGCTCTATGAACCTGTGCAACAAGAATTAAACCTTTTCTTAAAGACACAATAAACCAAACTTGCACGACTCAACATGGATTCAACGGAAACATACTTGTTGTTCAAAACATCTGCATCAAACTGCTGTTTGGTGACAAAGTGGTACTCTACACCATCCTTCTCATGCGGCTTCTTGGGTCTGGTTGTATCTGTGGGAACACAGGAGTACTTTAGTGATATTTCTAGAGTTTTGGCGATTCATTTAGGCAAGTGTAAAATGTGGAGTGACTCACGCGGTACAGCTACTGCATAACGATGTGGGTTTTCAGCAATCACCCTCTGTTTGAGTTCATTAATTCTTGCTCCAAGAGAACCTTTCGGAAACAAATGGTGAATATACATGTGAACAAAAGGACAGCATGTTGTAACACAAGTTGTAATCCACTAGATGTCGCCATCATCAAAGGAGTCCTTTTGTGCTTTTCAGTCTTACCAATCAGAACCACCAAGCGGGGCCTTTCATTTGGCCTCTGCTGATAGCGGGTCACCTCCTCATAGGTCAGGAACTCTGGTTCTCCAGGATCAGAACCCTCTCCTGATGATCCCTGCCTGTCTTTACGACTCAGGCGGAAACTCCTCCGCAAACCAGCTACAGTGAGGTCACAGATGGGAAGGAAGAAGAAACAGAAAACAAGAGGTCTTTGGTCAGATGTACGACAACATTTACTAGTGCACAGCAGTTTGATAAAGTTGTGGACAAACACCTTTTGGATAAATTAAAGACCAACCCACAGATCATGCATTAAAAACCTTTGTATAGAGTGCACATGGATGAATATAGATCTATCCTATTGAAAGTGCAAATAGTTAAATATTTGATATATAATATTATATATATATATATATATATTATATATCAAATATATTTAATATATCAATTATAATATTTGATAGTGTGAGATATACTGTAAGTAGAAGCCAATTGGATGTCATGCTTAAACTAAAAATTGGATCACATGCAGCTGACAGTAAATATATTAGGTGAAAGTCTGTTATATTACATATTTTGATAATTTTCGCATTTAAAAACTGATTTTAGTGACCCAATGTAAATACCATTTTGCTTTTATGTATTAAGAAAAAGCATGCTGCTTTCAACAAGGCTACAGTGCTGAGGCAGGACAGACAGGACAACCTGGCCCTGGGAGACGCCACGTTAAAAGGAAAAGACTGGATCTCCCATGATCAGGACTGTCTGTATCCTCCCCTGTCAGTGATGTGTACCTGCAGGAACGAGCCGGGCACTGTACCTGAATAAAATTCCCAGGAAAACACCTGGCCACAGGAGGGCGCCACTGCTTTACACTTAGGAGAGACTATAACTGGCGTTAGAGCATCACACAACCCAGCCTCACACCTCCACACAGGGTGAACAAGCAACAAACGTGCCTGGTTGAGTGTGCAATGCGTCCAACGCAGCAGGGCCCTCGTGGGTGGGGAGAGGATGGGGGAAGGGGTTGATTCTGAGGGTAGGGGTAAGCAGTGCACCAACCAGAGCAGCAGGGACAGTTAGTTAGATGCAGGGCAGGAGGGAGGGGCAGGTTTAAGGGGATCCAAACACTGCAAGGTGAAGGCGGTGGGGGGAGGGATGAGAATGGGAAGGGTTTAACAGCTCCAAGCAGGTTAACGGGAAGCACAAATACTGTTTACTGAAGTATTTTGTGTTACAGTGAGAAAGGGCTGTGTTTAGATCGCTCCTTGTTGTCACACTTATTACAGCAGCTCACAGGATGGGGGAGCAGATGAGGGGTCAGGCTGGGTTAAAGAAGGGTGAGGGAGTGAAGGTCAGCGGAAGGCTAAAGAGCACAGGAAGAAAATTGGGGACTCATTTTTTGCCCTCTTCCAAAGCGTAACGTTAGTAAAGATTGCTTATTGCAACATACCTTTGGCCTAGTTGTCCATTTAAATACAGTAAGCAACATTTTATAAACTACTTTGTCGTTAGCTATTAGATTATTTTATAGATTTGTATTATTGAACTATATGCTACACATTAGCCAGCTCAGTATGCTAGGAGTTCATTTATACTTATATCAAGTAAAAAAATCTTTCTCTAACAGTTTCAGTATTTAGTGAATAATAATAATAATAATAATGATAAAAGTAATAATAAAGGCAAGAACAAAACCAGCACATTTGTTGAATTTAAGTCCTACTGAAGTAAAGATACAGTAAAAAAAATAAAAGTTACACAATTATTTTTTGCACTACTTTTTTTTCATGTTATGTCAGTGTTACATTTGCAAAAAACACTCACCGGCCACTTTGTTAGGTACTCTACTTCAACTGGTCGTTAAACCAAATATCTAATTGGTCAATACATTTTGGCATGTTGACGTGCTCAAGACGACCTGCTGAAGTTCAAACCGAGCACCAGAAGGGGGATTAAAGGTGGTTTGAGTATACCAGAAAGAGCTGATCTATTGGGATTTTCTCACACAACCATCTCCTGAGTTTACAGAGAGAAAATATCCAGTGAGCTGCAGTTGTCTGGGACAAAATGTCTCGTTGATGCAAGACGTTAAAGAAGAATTGTCAGACTGGTTTGTGCTAATAAAGCAACATTAGCTCAAATAACCACTCGTTATAACCAAAGGTATGCAGAAGCGCATATCTGAATGCACAGCACTTTTAGCCTTGAAGTAGATGGACTGCAGCAGCAGAAGACCACACTGGGTGCCACTTCTGTTAGCTAAGACCAGGAAGGTGAAGCTGGAAGTGACATGGGCTTAGTAAAACTGGCATCTGACATTAGGATGCTAAGGTCAGAATTTGGCATAAACATGAAACCATGGAGCCATCCAGCCTTAAATAAGGAGGATGGTGGTAATGTAAGGTTGTAGGGGATCCCAAATCTAATTTAGTACCAAATGAGCATCATTTAAACACCATATCCTCCGTCTATCCGCACAGTGTACACATCTTCTGGCTGCTTCCAGCAGCAAAACATATCATGCCAAAAAGTTGAAATAATCTAAAACTGGATTCTTGACCTGGCCTCCACTGCTCCCAGTTCCAGAGGCATTAGAGCACTTTTTTAGATGTGATGGAATGAGAGACTCACATCATGGAGATGCAGCCAACAAATCTGGAACAACAATGATGTGATGCCATCATGTTAATATGGACCAATATTGCTGGTATGTTTGCAGCTCCTTGTTCATTTTTATTGCCCTGAAGAATTAAGGCCAAAGGGGTCCAACCCAGCAATAGCACTAACAAAGTGACCAATGATTGTATGGATAAACGTCCAATTAACAATGTGCAAAAAAATCCCCCATCTGAATGTGGATTTTTCAAATTGTCCTTCCATGACATTGAAAGAGATGCTGTGGAAGCACAGTAGCTTGAAATCGAAAGTTGTGCTTTAAACAGCACCACGTAGCGAGCTGTTTTCTCTTTTTTCCTTCAGGAAATTTCTAACAAAATAATAACTTGTTTTGCATAATGTAGAACTGTACAGTCTGCACCACAGGAGCTGACACAGTGATGCATCCCTAAACTCTCTCCTAACTAATTATTCAGTGGAGTCCTCAAAGAGGCAACTCTGTTACTAACACCTGCTGTGAGTGTGAGACGGTACTTCCTACACTTTCCTTTGCCCTTCCTCACTTTACACTGTAGCAGTTAAGTGTTTCACTCACATGCATATCTACCGTCTCTTCAGCTATCAGAAATGAATCCCTGACCCTCATCTAATTTCTCAGACTGCTGTGAAAACCATCTTTTTTGAACCTTCAAAACCTTCACCCTTGCTCTTATCCCTCAACCCTGGCCCCCGAAGAGACAACCTTCCAAGCAGTTATTTTGGCCCCCAGCCCAAAGCACCCAGGGAACCAGCACACAGCCAGGCTGCAGCAGGCACAGAGCAGATAGGGAGAAGGAGGTGGAGAAAGATGTGCACACTCTCACCTATGTACTGTCCATTGAAATAGCCCTCACAGTCACAGTCCTCTGTAGGGAGGCAAGCAGGGAAAAGAGGGGGGTAAGCACAGGGTAAGAGACCTGGAAGAGTTGAGGAATAAGGGATGTGGAAGAGTTTAAGAAAGGGGTGGGCAGGCCATGGTAGCTGTAGAGGGGAAGCAGGGCCCAACGGGCAACAGGCAGGCAGGCAGACAGCAGGAGGAGAGAGTGGAAGGGCAGCCAAGAGATGATGAAGATGTGCTGTTAGAGGCAACAGCCACTAAACAAAGGCTTGATAAAGAGATTTAAGTAGAAGGGAGAGAAGAGAGATGGCTCTACATCTGTATGTGAGTCAGCTATGAGACAGATCTCTGTGTACACACACGCAAACAAGCTCTGTGTCCCCAAAGATGTGCAGCTTGTGTACAAACTGCCTATACAAACCCATCTGTAATTCCTAAGCAAAATGTGTGCTTTCTACGCTTCTTTAATAGACTAAAGGGGAACAGGAAACGTTCATGTAAAGACAAATATGGAAAAACAAAAGACAGATAATAAGAGGTGAGGTTGATGCAAGAGAGGGGTGGAGGTATTGTTCTATTCAACAATCTCTGCTAGACGAAAGTCTCCAGGGATGCTGTTCTGCCTGCACCTTACCTGATACAAAAGAAACACACACACACACGTACACACTCAAACTAGCCACACAAAGAATCTCTATTCTGGTCTGGTAACTAATGGTAGGAGGGAAGGAATTAAGCTGGAAGCTGTAGAAATCCCAAATGCACACCCCAGTAGCACACATGCAAGCTTTACACACACACACACACACACACACACACACACACACGAATATGCACACAAACGGCAATATTACTCTGTAGTTTGTGTTTGGTTGTTTTGCTGTGTTTGTGGCTGCACATATACCAACCTTTATCACATCCTGGATCATCTGATGCAGCAGTGAAGGGCAGAGTAACATGTTAAGCACGGTTAAAGTAAAAATTATTTTGTGCTGATAATCTCTAGGAACGTTGGAAATTTGTTACAGAGGAAAGCTAGTCTAAATTTAGGAGATTGGCCTTAAACTGACGTCACTCTGAGACGAGGAGGGGGACCCGCATGTTAAAGCCCCTGCTGGGATTGGGTGGAATTAATAAAGAGAGCTGGGGGAGTGTGGATGGAGGCTGAGACAGAAGAGACCTCGCAGGTTTGCTGCTGTGCAGCATAGCAGGGCTAGTTGCCATATTGCTAAGCTCTTGTTGTCTCCACGCAGCTCCCGCCTAATCGGATCGCCTGCAGCTTATGTGCCACGAAGAGCCACCGCTCACATCATCCACTCACCTGGCTGTTTACATGAATCCACTATAGTATCAACTGGAAAAGTGAGAAGCGCAGCATATTAACAGGGCTTTGTTTCCCACCGGACGACTGTTGTTACAGAGTCTGAGTTAAGCTGAATTTGCAGCCTGCTTACTGGCCAGATGGACTGAACATGAAAGAGATTAATTCATATGTGTGATCCCTCCCAGTGTCTTTCTTCCCCTCCAACTCTAATCTTTTTTTCAAAACCTGTCTACACTGCAGCATTTAGGGAATGTACAGTTGATACTAATGGCTGTGAGAGTTCTAATTAATAACCAAAAAAAGGTTAGAAAAATGAAAGCCAGTGAAAAAATATAATCACAGTAGAGAATGGAGAGCTGATAGTGAGAGATAGTGTCAGTCATAAATTGTAATTATAAAAAGATGCACTGAAATCCTAGGAAGCAGAAACTTACAGAGAGACTTTTTAGGGGATTTTGGATTCGGGAGTGTGCCCATTTTCATCCTGTAGGCCAGTCGCCTGGGGAAGTGTGCAGCGGAACAAAGAACCAGAGACGATAAAGGCAGAAAGAGAGTAAGCAAAAAGTAAGGGGGGACTGTCAGGACTAAAAGACGTGAATCTGAAAAGGCAGAGGAATATACAACACATGGATGGATGGCTTTATTATGAGGGCAGAGACAAATAAGACAGCAGTTTGCACATTTTTTGTGCTTACTTTGTGTTGCTGAAGAGATTGGACTTTCCAGCAAGAAATGGCAACAATCACTACAAAAAGACATCTGGGCCTATTCAGTAATCCATCCCTGATGAGCAGACCTGAGCTCATGCCACTTTTGTTCAGTGACAATCAATGTAATCCAGTTTTACCCTAATCTGTTTGTCCCAAACATGAAAAAAAAAACAATTTTAGGTAGTTCTGAACCATATCTCTCTCAGTGTTTAAGCTATGGTTATTAATCCACCAGATGCTGCGGTGTTTGGCTGGAGATCAGCTGAGATCATTTTAAACAGCAATTTTGACACTTAGAGTTTTAGCGCATGCCTATTCAAGTCAGAGTTTCAACTAAATTTATTCCACAATGATCTGATGCTCTATCTAATCACAGTTGACCCTTTAAAGTGGAACACATGAATGTGGATTTAAAAGATTATTGTCTGGGTAAAATAAATATCCGTGGTGTATGGGTGAACCGTTCAGCTTCTGTGACATCAGGCTCATTTTAATTGTGAAGACAAGACCTTCTTCTAAGCGTTCTTACCTCTCCTGAAACTGTTTGGATGGGATGAGTCCAGCACGCAGGTTGCTGTCTCCCACACGCTTGGCCTGCCACCAAGTGGGGTCATCCTGCGTCACAACCTGAATGATGTCTCCTCGTTTAAAGGGAAGTCCCGCCTCCTGGCAGGGTGTGGCCTTGTCTTCCAAGGGGATGTAGTCAAACAAGGCTCTCATATACACCTGGAGTCAAATGCACAAGGTGGTGGAAACACCATATTTTAGAGTTTAGAGTTATCTGAGCAGAGTGTGCTGGATGTAAAACACAGGGCAAAGTGAGAAGGTGATTGTACCACAATTATATTTAAAAATTTAAAAATAATATAAATATTATTTACTGAAATTAAATGGGGTTACCACAGGGTTACCATTTTTCATGTTTTATTCAGTGTAAACAGTCACTGTCGTTGCTTAAATGCCAAAAACCACATTTGAAATCTGCTTGGATTTGGACTTTCAGCAGTTCACACAAAGACTGAATATTATGTAAATCGTAGCGCAATAAAAGGTGTTTTGTTTTTTGTTTTTTCTCTCCCTTGCACACTCTGAATACTGAGTGCACATCAGAGGAAACCCATCCATCCATCATACTTTATCTCACCTTGCTCTCCTTCAGCCGGTCCTCCTCTTTAATAGCGGGGATTATCTTTAGAGTGATGGAGCCCTGGGACTGGGACTGGATCACAAATAAACAAGAGCACGGGAAGATTATGACTGCATCCTTACATTAAAGACAAACACTGAAATATAATACGCTTAACTGTCAACTTGCAGTGAACTTTATTTTTAATGGATAAAAGACATTTGTTTTTTTAGTGGAGTTATTCCAACATTCACATGTCCTTCTGTCCATCTTACCAACAACTGACTGATTTCATCAGGCCTCTTGTGGATCACAGAGACCCCGTTCACCTCCCTCAGCTCATCTCCTACATGCACCAAACCTGTGAAGAGCGTACACGCTGTATGAGCTGGCAGAAACATCAATGATGTTCAAAGAGACTTCAGTGTGCTTCCCGGGTCTGTGGGGTTTAGCATTTGTATCTTAAGATCAGTGCTGTTGTTAGATCCTCAGATACGAGCAGCTTCTGTCCTCGGCTGCGATCTGTTTATCTGCAGCCACAACAATGCGACCAAAGAGCACGAGAGAAGGGGGGTCGATATATTTCTCCCTCAGGATAGAAGCACAGAGCCCACGATATTATACTGATGAGCATTTTTTCATCACTTGACAGCAAGAAAAAAAGATTACTCACTGCTTACTTTCATTCTGTAGTTTATATTTTCCTGGTGTAACCACTGCACGTTGTACACGATGACTTACTAATGAAGAGGTTTTTGCTTTTCCAACAACTGTGCTGAATGTTTTGTCCTGATGCAATCTTTCTACCAGAGGGTTCATTAGAACATCAAGTTTTCTTGGCTTATTTTAATGAAATTATTTATCTCCTTCTCGCTGGTTGCAAGAAGAAAAATGAAGCCACACCACTGTAAAAATCAGGAGGTTCTTGAGGCATCATGCTGGCTCAAGGCTACGCTACATTACTGCAACAGCAGTTTGGTTTCATGCTGGGCCTGTTTTTCTTCATGACAGTTTCCCCTTTTCTGACTATTAAAAACAACAGAAACACAGCAAAGAGTACACTTTTACTCAATTGTTGGTTTTATAAAGACAGATACTGACATCATTTATAAAAGTAATTCTTCTTCTTGTGAATTGATTGTTGATTAAATATATAACGTGATAGATCTTTATTTGAAAATAAAAATAGAGAACCTTTAAAAAATGCTCTTAGTTTCTCCCCTGATAATCATATAACATCCTCTTGCTCATAGGCTGGTACCACAGATATACAAGCTTTTAGAAAATGAACAGCATTTTACCACTTCGATCAGCTGCACCTCCCCTCATTATCCGAGCCACTATCACTGCTCCAGTGGCTTCGTCACGCCTGATGGTGGCTCCCTAGAGTACAAAGAAGTAACAACTCCATTAGCAGAAGAGGCCAAAGGTCTCCGTCCCATAATCCCTTCCTGTTTCATCTGCTTCTCTTGAAGGCTCTCTAGTTTCATTCCCACTCTCGACTTTACGTCACAACTCACCAGAGGTTCTTTGTTCTTTACCAGCCTGACAATCTTTACAGATTCCTCTTCCAGATCGTCCTCAAAGTCGTCCGGCAGCGGTGGCAGAACAGGGTCAAAGTTCTTCTGAGCTACAGTGTCATGCACTGACAGAACAGCCTGATGGGACAGAAAACATACATGCTGAGATTACAGTGCTGACGTTCAGCTGTCGGGAAGCACACAAAGCAGTCTGACATCTGCCAGAGCTTGTGAACTGCATCAGAAATGAATTTTCAGTTTGATATGAGTGCAAGTGAAACAACCCAGCACAACAGGAGGTGAATGAAATAAGAGTTTGTGTGTCACTGCCATAAAATCTCCACTAATTGAAAATGTGTTTACCTTAAGATGAGGGGAAAGTAGCAAATTCAGCAGCTCCTTCTCCTCTGTGCTCATCGAACCACTCTGTAGCTCCTCTGCCACCTGCCAATCCCAATACACATGAACTCTGGATGTGTATACTAGTAACACACACAGTTTATTGTAGAACAACAGAAGACAGATTCAGAGATGCAGAGTGGGAAAGATAAGTGGAAAGCACCTAGGGTCAGCAGTTTGCTCTTCTGATAACTGGTGAGAGCAACAGGGCAGCAGGATATGGAGTTTCATTAGAGGAGCACTGGGATGATTCAGCACTTTGAGAACATTAAAATTCACTTTTCATACCCACATTGCTTCTCTGTCGGAGCTAACTCATGGTGACTGAATGCTGTGCCCAAGTGGAAAAGTAATTTACAGTATGTGTGTGTGTGTGCGTGCGTGTGTGTGTGTGTGTTTGTGTGAGGAACTTACATCCTCTGCCAGAGAGGAAGCACTGTGGAGGACAGGTGTTGGGCTCTGTCTCTCATACTGTCTCAGCTTCTCGTGAATCTAGGAAAAAACACAATCAGTGTATAGAAGGAAGAATTTTAATAAAGTGCTGCATAGTTAGGCCAAAAGGTGAAGTACAGTAATATGATATTCCATAACATGTATCAGCTTCATGCCATTCTTTTCCAACAGCCACAAAACATAAGCATAAATCCGCTGGCCTCAAATCAACTAGATATAAAAAACAACAACAAATGAACACAGCCACCATGATTGGTTCAAGTTCTGAACCAACTTGTCCAAGGTATCCATGCCCTAAAGCAGGGGTGGGGGAACTCCAGGCCTCAAGGGCCAAAGTCCTACAGGTTTTAGACATGTCCTTGATCCAACAGCTGATTTAAATAGCTAAATTACATGTCTTGAAGTTCTCCAGAGGCCTGGTAATGAATTAGTCATTTTATTCAGGTGTGATGACCCAGGGTTAGATCTAAAACCTGCAGGACACTGGCCCTTGAGGCCTGGAGTTCCCCCATCCCTGCCCTAAAGTGTACCTTGCTTTAGCCTTTATGGAGGTCATAGATCAAGTGAGTTGGATCCTTTTACCAAGTACTTTTATACAACCAAAACAGTCACCCTCTGTATGTCAGTAGAAAGAATGGCTAAAAGCCAGTTTGATGCACTGCATTATGGGAAACTATGTCCATCTTTTATCTACAGTCTATGGTCAGGGTACATAATCCTGACTATTCCACCCATCAGCTGTAATATTTTACAAGTAGAATGACCTACCACATCGAAAGTAAGCCAAATAAAAAAATAACTGGTATATGATTTTGATTCAGACTGAATGCTCATATAATTGAGATCAAATGTCTTCAGATGCTTATTTTATGTCAGGAGCATACTTCCATGAAGAGCAGACCTCCGATGAAAGCTGTGTGATCTGGTTTTATTTCCAAATTCTGCACTTTTATCATTGTGCACATCAAAATGATCAAATTTTAGGATTTGTTTTGAGTTTTGTTTTGTTTTTATAAAATTATGCCATCTGTAGACCTATAGACAGACTATAAAGACATTGGGAGCATTTTGGCATGATGCTACTGTAGTTGCACTGTTTCACAAAGAAACTACTAGATACCAGTTTCCTGTTCCATGAAATCAGGTAGTCATCCAAAAAAAAGAAAATAAACCTTTACTGCATAAACAAATAATAGATGTTTCAATTTAGAAATTAGTTATCCAAATAATTATATTACAAGTTATCATTTGTAAAGCTTGAACCATCCTCACAAGAATCATAATTCCTCACCTTCATCAGGTATCCCAAACTCCTCTCACTGAAGACATCTTTGAGGAACACCATGTCCTCTTTGTGGTTGGCATCTGGCCGCAGCTGAGAGGTCAGCAGGGCCAACGTTTCATGTAGCCCTGCACAGGACATGAATTAGAAAATCCATCATGTATATTAGCATGAACAGATGGGGCACAGCTAGCCTTGAGCAGTATGGACAGTATGTGTTGAGCATCTGCGCTCGCTTTTCTTACCCGCTCCTGCTGTGAGAACCGGCATGGCTTCTTTCATGGGTCAGTGAGGTGAGGAGGGGAAACCTGGGAGGGGAGAAAATATAAGTAGTATTTCCTCACACTTCCACTTGGACTCTGGCGGTTGCTTTCCGAGAAGTTTCATTGAGTGATTAAAAAAAAAGAATTTCTTTCTTCCTAAAAAAATTAATGCAAGGGTGTGTTTGTGTGTGAGCATGTAGGATTGACGTACCTAGAAACCCATGTTTGGTAATTATAGCTGTACTTCATCCTCTTTTCTACTTTAAGCAATAAATCGGGGTTGCAATTTCCATTTTGCAGTGTAGTTACCTCATCTGTGAATGTGTAGGTGTGGATCTGCACGTCTGCTCGCATTATAGGGCAGTACTACTAAGATAAACAGTCACTGCTGGTACTATTAATCACACCGACTCTCGTTAGGCTGTCTGAGCTTGTGTTGGTATGTGTGAAACGAGCAGAGTGGGATACTCTGGCACAAACCTGTGTGAAACAAGCAGTGTGTCAAACCTCTAAGGAAGAAGCTGCTGATACGAGGACTCGAAGGGATGCCTATCACATATTTACAGTACACTATGCTGTTGTAAATCTGTCCTCCTTGCTGCATAAAAAAGAGCCACCCTTCCTTGCTTGAAGGAATAATTTCAGTGATATACAAACCAAAAGCCATCTATTGTCACAAGTCTTTTAATATAATTCAGAACAACTGAGGCTTATTTTAATTAAAAACAAAACAAGCAGTGCTTATCCCAGTTTGTCTTGAGGAATTTACCATCATAAATGAGACAGATGAGCGCAACAACTTTAGTTGGGATTCTCAGGGCTAAATGAAAAGTTAAAGTAACAAACGAAGGCAGCACTCTTCAGTATTCAGACCTGTGAGTGACTCAAAGATCTATTTAGTGTAAGCCCAGCACAGACTGCTGCATTATTGCAGTCCCAGCCAATCAATAACTTTGTCACTTGATTCAATATTCTCCATATTTCCTCACTTGGAAACCTGGATCAATAAGAAAAAAAAAAACAAAACAAAAAAACCCCACAGAGTCACTCATGTCACACTGTAATCTGATGACAGAACAACAGAAAACTGCAGCAAAGCCAAAACCGCAGTCTGTGGCTAAAACATTAACAAAGAGTA